ACATTTCAACCGCTGGTCACTATATTTATAAGTTTATGTTTTCCGAAATTCGACAGTCTTCCAGGATGGTCTAATCTGGGTGTTCTTTTTGTGGGTTCAGAATTAGGTAGATCGTCATCTTGTTCTGTACAATTAGTTTCACAATCTTCTATCCACGAAACTGCGATTTTGTGCAGGAAATTCTTGTACGTAATATTTTTTCCATTGAGAACTGTGTATGCTTTAAATGTATTGAAAAGTGCACAGTTGATAAAAAACATTACAACTCGTTTAGTCTATTTTTTTTGTTTTTCTAAAAATGGAATAATACGATTGGTCCGCGCGATCTTCTACGCTCTTCATATATTTGTTATAATTTACGATTGAATTAGGCTTCTGTATGGGACCGTTTGATCTTTTACTTCTGTTTCTGGATTCCGTTAATTGTGCAGAATGTATAGTTGAGATCATATTGACGTTTCTTTTGCCATTATTCCATACTTCCAACAAAATTTGATGATTTCTGACAAATGATGACAAAAAACCGGTTAATAGGCTATCGGTCGGTAAGCGTTGGTGACAAAAAGCCGATTAATAGGCTATCGGTCGGTAGGCGTTGGCGACAAAAAGCCGATTAATAAACTAGCGGTCGGTAAAGTGTTAAAAGATATCCTACATAGTAAAAAAACATTTTGTACTTGTGTTAAAATTGGTCCTTATTAAAATTCTTGTGTTAAACTTTTAACATACCCGTTTGTTAATTTACCATGAAATGTATTAAATTTAACGCAACATTTTTTACTGTGTAGAATTAATAAATGCTCTTTTTTTTCTTTCCCTTTCTTTCTCTCTTACCGGTAAAATCTCTCTGATTGTAAACTTTTAAACTTTCGACAGAATAATTTACCTCGAGTAATATCCCGCGCGACACATACATTATATGCGGCTCGGCACATACGTGCACCTCCGGAGATGCACTTGACGCTAGTGGGTCGCGTTTGATAGGACGGATGTTACGCGCGATAACAAAATGTTCAGCGCCGCCGCGTGATTGTTTATGCACCGCATACGTCTCCTCTTCTTCGTGACATGTAATGCAACGTCAGGCGTTTGGCGGCGTGGTTTACAACTCTTTTAAATTAAATATAAACTTCCCGCGAACTTCCGGCGAATTCCACCAGCTTGCGCGTTTTCGTTCATTTTGCATATGCGAAACGAAGAAGGCGGTGGCTTGAAATTATGGCGGTACCGAGAAATTAATTCCTTCCTCCTGACCTGGCTGTACATCGCCCAGAGATGCAATCAGCACGGTTCTGCGAATGTCACACCACGCGAATTCCATAATTTTCAATCGGCGACAGGCTGTTCTTTACGCTCGCTCGCGATTATGATCGTGCGGAGCTTGATAATCCCGTCAAGGCTTCGCGCGGCAATTGAAAAGAAATAGGAGACGTCGACGTAATACGATACAATCGGTTAATACGATTACCGTGCTGCAATTCGCACAAATTCCGATTGTTAATCGAAACAAGCTTCCAAACTGGTGCGTAACGTTTCTGACTTTTCGTCTTTTATCGCGTTCGCGCGATATCGCACGTTCGGAAGTCAAACGTGTTGCGCGTTAGCAAGATCACGCGATATTTTGATCTCCAAGTTTATTTCCTTTTTTTTAACTGTTCTCTACGTTTTACGTACATTCGCGAAGCTTAACGTCTCGAGTCGAAATTTTATTTTTACATTAAGTCTTCAAAGGTCTTCTATTGTGGTTCTTTGATGTTACAAATGGAAAATTATTTCCGTTTTCTTCACTGTTGAAGACTTAATATAGAATTTAGAATTTCCCCCCGAGCTAAATTTCCTTTATAGCATTAAAAAAACTATTAGTGTTCTTTTAATACTACAAATGAGAAGTTATTTCCATTTTCTCCACTTAATGTGGGACTAAGTAGACTTAAATGCAGGACAAAATTTGGGTTCGGGTCCGGCTGCTGCGAGCGCTCTCGTTTATATTTCCATGAAAAACCGGATCTGATGTGGTCTAAGAATGGGCACTATCGTCATACGATGCAAATCGCGAATTAATGGTTACTCTGCGACTAATTGTGATGAACGTTGTTCGCGTTGGCGTTCTCTGATTATTAGATTATGCTAAAGCATTTATACATATATATATATATATTTTTTTTTTATGTACGTCCCAAATAATGTAACCTAAGCTTTCTGCAATATATGCGATAAATGTAACAAGATACGAGCAAGGAATGTCCCGAGAATAATATTAACGTTGGAGATAGAGAGAATGGATGATATAAATAATTGAGGGACGTAGTCATATGAAGGTCCGTGTAATGTTCCACTTCGTAGCGAATTTTCCATCAAATAAGCTGCAGCGCATCGACTTCCGATATTAAGATACATCTTTCAGTCTTTTATAACGGTCGGTTATAAAAGACAGTCTTGTAATATAAAGTCTATGTATAATGCACTCAAGAGTGGTTGATTTACAGCCTGGTAAGACTTGAGTCCTCCGTCCTCCAGTCTTGCGAAACGTGGGCATTTATCTCAGCTGTGCGCTAAAATTTGAATTACACCCGTCACAATAAATGTATGCGTTAAAATTAACAAATTATAGATCATTATACGACGGAGTTACGTGAGAAATAAATGTATTCTCTGTGGATTTATCAACGAAAATAAAATTATGTAATATGAGATATGTATAGAAATATCGTGGTTTGTAAAAATACCGAGGCGCTATTATCGTTCTATCGAAATATTCGCGATTCTAAGATCAAAATCATGTTTCAGTGCGCGACTTTCAAAAACGCGAGATGCGTAAATGTGGTTTATCGATCTTTCGATTCGTGCTCATATTGATATCGCTGAACATGAAAAAGCTTAAAACTGGTTTCTCAAACTCTCAAATAGTAGGCCGCTGTGGCGTTTTATATCGCCTGTTCGATTATTATGCAACATTAATACCTGTCTTTGATATCTCAATTTAATACTTGAACATCAAATTGTTCGGTTTCGCTGTTTTAAATATCATTCAAATCTGTTTTACGCGAACCGTCTTCTATATTTCTTTTAAACAGTGGCACTGGCAGATTTAAAGAGATGAATGCAGTCACAACTGCCGCAATTAAAACCAGATTTATAAATATATTGAGAAACTCGATTGCCGCGACATTTTACGTAGCCCTCCGGCATCGCCACTTCATTTTACGTAGTTCTCTGTCGTTTTCCGCAGCGAACCGACGATTATGTAAGCCATCTATAATTGTCCTCCAAAATACTTCATCGACAATAAGACCGTTTCGTCGGATACAAAATCCTGTAATATTACGCGAATTTAACAGAGGAAAATCAGTAAAAGTAGCGGGAATATCCGAATAATCTCAACAAATACGAATAAATGAACATTTCATACGAATTCTCCAATGTTGAGAACCTTCTTTTCCCGAGCTTTTTATTAAACGGTATCTTACACGTCATATTCATTTTTTCCAAGCATCCATACAACTAAGAAGAAGCTACAGCTAACTCTATGGCTCTCGACGAAATGTAATCGTTCAGTATTAACTGAAAAATAGAAAATATAAAAATCTTACCTGTGTGATGCACCGAATCGATGCGACTGTAAAAATAGAGCTTATTGCGATTGTATCTTCAAAACAACCGTGCAACGTTTCCTGTCGCAGATAAGCAATGCACTGGTTCGCGGTCGATAGGAAAAATAGGTTAGGCTAAAGAGTGAGAGTAACGATGTTGATCTCAATCGCGTTACACTCGGAACTCTGTGTTCTATGAATCCTCAAATTCCGCAGTTAATTATTAATTAATTAACGCAAACGTGTTCCTCGATTCGCGTAAATTGATGACGGATGTTCCACGCAAAATGGATAATAAACATTTAGCTTACACGCTCGCAGTAACGAGTGGGAAATTAGGAGCGAATACATTCTCTGTTTCCGAGATAATTGCGGGAACCGGTAAGAAAATCAGGTTAAATTTAATAACGCGCGCGGGTCATTTCTTGTGGCGCTAGATGAATACAGCCGGGCGCATTCAAATCTTCCGGCGGACGTAGCGAGCGGTTGTTTATACGACCGTATGATGAAAGCACCTGTTCTTCCCGTCGAGTATTTTCAACAGTGTGCCTTCCGCATCGCGCGTCCACGTTTCAGTTTATATACGCCAACCGTACTCGGGACCAATTAATAGCCAGGATTTGTTTTTCTCCAGTTCCCGACAATTCACTTAGATAATGATATTTATTTGGCGAAATTCGCGGAAGGGAGTGTGCACGCTCCTCGCGCAAGACTCTTCACGTGCAAAACGAGCTGACCGAACAAATTATTATCTCGTTCTCGTTCGTTGTGTTTTAGCGCGACGTAATTCGTCACCAAACCTCCGAAGTTCATAACGAGCTTCCATGCACGCGCTAATGAGAATAACAATATTGCATGTACACAATATAAAATTATAATTTTCCGGTCAAAGAACGAAGTGGTGCCGCGTAACTAAGTGGTTCGCTCGAAAATATGTCGACGGAACGAGATTACGACGAAAATACGTAATTAAAACGTTTGCGCGTGAGTAATTGTAAGATTCTTTTGAGACACATTGCGAAAGCACGAAATTCGATATTAATTAATGTCTCCCCGCGATAGCAACTGGTAATTGTAAATGATATTTTTAATCGCGGCAAGAATTCAATAATAGAGAGACGGGGGTTATAGCTGCATTTAGTCTTCATCGCGAATTTTCAATATTCTTGCGTCTCCGAGTGTAATATCAGTCGTTGATTTTGTTCTTATAATTACGTAAAAATAGAGAATTCACTAGGAATATAAACAAAATATAATGTGAAGAATAATCATATTTACAGAATTAAAGGAATAATAATATCGGCCAAACGCGTTTACATTTTGGTACAGGTGGACAAATCACATTTATTTCATAGTAATTACAGAATTCTGCCGTCACAATACGAACTGAACAGTAACGGCGGCTCTGAGAATAACATAATGTTGTCGCGAATGTACAAGATGCATGTATGCGTGTATATGTTAATATTTATACAGTTACATTGCGATGTACATTCAAACATTATAGATAACATCGAACTTTCTCCATATTATACACATCCGCACGCGTCAGCTTTACATTTATCAGTAAGAAAATAATATATCTTTTAAAAATCGAGGAGGTGAGCTATTATTTAGCTCAGATCGACTTGTTAACTTATTGTTATTGGCCATTCAGCGATTGTACGATCAGAGCTGCATTGCATTCCGATTATTATTACCACACACACACTCTCTCTCTCTCTCTCTCTCTCTCGTTTTCTCTCGCCGTCGTGTAACTCACGTAGAGGTCATGAGGAGCTCTGGCGATGCCGCGACATGGATTCTAACGACGGTACGGATACGTCGTTCTCGAGACGCACGATTAAGCTAATGCTTCATTCAGATTATAGAGATATCCTCTTTAGACTGGAGTTTCTCACACATCGTTCGGGAGTTCACCCTGAATGTATGTACCTGGCTCTCCGCCATGCTCTGCCGCCACTTGATGGAGGTCGATTTGTAACGACCTGAAAACAAACCGAAGTATGCGCAAGGTTAAACGTTTGCCGATTCCGTTTTATCGCGCTATGATGTGCGATCCGAGACACATATCACAGTGGGTAAATAAAGTTCCATTCCATCAACTTAAAGGATTAGGTCACTTTGACACTTTTGAACAGTCGACAATTTTTTTGCTTTAAATTAAAATTTCTAATCTTAAAAATAATATGCAAGTGGTCCGATTTGAAAATTTGTGATATTTTGCGAGTTACAGTTTCTCGACTAACGTCGCGCATGGGTAGGGAGAGTACGAGTTTGAACACCATGAGCGACTGAGACATAGAAATTTATGAAGATTTAAGCAGAGATGAGTTGAACGTTGTTTAAGTAGATATATCTAAAATAATAACGAAAGCTTAAATTCTACGATTTAAAAGCATGCTCCTAAAGCGACGTTTAAAATTCAATTTAACTCATTTATTTAATGAATTCCATCTTGTTTTTATCACTTCGCTAAAATAAATTAGGAAAAATAGGCCTCGTTTTCAAGCGTCCAGAGTGGCCCAATCCCTTGACAGAAACTTGAGGAAACGATAAATATCATTCGAGATATCCACTGTCTCCAGTAGGAACATTTGGTGGAAAACGAAATTGAAGAATGTATGCAGTTTTTCATCTAAATTGCTTTAATATTACTGCTGTTGTCCGAATTATTTTATCACGTTTAAACGGTTAACAAATATAATGCATCTCTATAATGCCAGCTCTATTACGCGCAATTTTTCTGATCGATTCTGATCGCGCAGTACGTTAGCGGAGCATCGGGAAGTTATATTATTCAGTCGCGGGATATACGAAAAACCGGGTGGTAAATTGAGACTGCTGCGAGTGATAAATTGATGGTCGAATTGGTTCTACCGCGCGCTCGTTCTACTGGTGAGCCTTTTTCAGTTCGGAAGCGTCCGATATCTTGGAGAAACTTCTATCTTCTTCAGCTCCGAATATCCGTGATTCCGGAGGAGAGTTACGAGCTAGTTGTTTACCACATTACGAATATATTTACACACGGATTTGGAATCGAACGCATGTTTACGCGAATGAACTTTATTCACGTAAGACTCGAAATAGCACGTATCGGTCGTTGCGGTACACCCTATAGACATCATAGAAATTCTATGGAGCCCGCTATTATCTCGTGAGATATGGTATTCCGGAAGATGATGGTTGGATCGATGAGCACCTCTCTAGCACCGATACATCGCGGTCTGCTCGCCTGACTTACGTGAGTGGCGATTTTGCTGTAAGTCAAAATGAGATTAGATTGAACAATATCTTCGCGGCGATCTGTCCGTCGTTCACGAACGACTGAAATTCCGCGGTTGACGTGGAAATAAAGCGACTTGAAACTTGACGCTCGCCAACATTTTTCAACATAAATGCGCGTTGCGCGCTAAATAAACAATGAACAATTCGGCTCGCAGCTGTGTATGTGTGTGTATGACGTATAAAAATTATAAAAAAGGATGCCCATTTTCTGCGTCATAATGAATATTTTTCGAGCGACCTAAAAATTAATCGTATGAATGAAATGGGGCGAATAGAGCCTGCGCTCTTGTTGAAGATTTATGAAAGTTTATATTATTACACTTTTCATGCGCGCGACCAATTACTTCTCGGACACGTGGTATTATATTTTTTTCATCCAAAAATCTATCGTTCCCGTTGCACCTGATTTTGAAGCTCCGGTAGGCAAAAGAACACGTTCGGGTCGTGAATCACAAGCGGCCAGATTAGCTGCGAAATCGTGTAATCGAGAGCCTGAAAGGAAAATTGCTCCGTTTGAAAGCAAGTTCCCGAGGCTTTCTCTTGCTTTCAATAGCCGGGTGTCATTTAACCCTCGACGGGATTGGGCATAGATGAAAGAGATGACTATTGACATCTTGGCTCGTGCATTCAGCTTGATCCGCATTGACGGCGATGTTTCCCCGCGTAGGCGATGTTCTCTTGCGCAGCGAGGCGAATAGCAAGTGCCATATGGAAATAATCGTTTATCCTCTTAGTCTAAGTAACGTTCTATTTCCAAAGAGATCAGAAACAAACGATTTAACTGACGACTAGCATAAATATAGATTAAGTACTTCCATACGCTTTAAGGATGGCCGTGGGCCAGCAGAAAGCCGGAAATAGGCACTTCAAGAGAGATAAATAGATAGATAGAGAGAGAGAAAGAAAGAGAGAGAGAGAGAGAGAGAGAGAGAGAGGAGTGGCACGTTCTCGTCCCTTTATCACCCCGTCGTACGACGATATCTCGCTGTAAGACGGGGTGAGGAACAAGGGGTTCACCTCGAACGAACAGACTGTCTCTCTCCTCTCCCGGTCCTCAACTGCCGAACTTCGAACTTTGTCGGAATGCTTAGTTGACGGTATATATGCTATAGGATTTAACTCCCTTGCAGTCTCACACGAGAAACTTGCGCCCCAATATCACCCAGCGTGACCTTTTGGAATAGGGTACTGCGCGAGGAAACGATGCTGTTTGCCTCCGACGCTTTAAATGAAATAATTCGACGAATTGCTGTTGTCTCCTCGGCTCATTAAGAATTCTCGCGTAGCTAATAACGACCAACATAGTTTTAATATTCTCAGACGGCGAATATAATTGGATGATGTAGTGTCGAGACACGGAAACACTCACCTTCTCGTTTTCTTTCTCTCTCTTTCCTTCAATCCCTCGTGGGCGCAGAAAATCATACTTGGTGAACAATAGATGCGCTGGAGAAGTTCGCTCCTGAATTTCGTTGAAATAATATCGATAATATGTCCGTCGTGCAACGAGCTTAAGGATTGTCATTGTAACGGAACACTCGTTTCGAAACGATAGACGAGCGACACAGAATCGCCAAAGATATCTCATTCCGTTTGACGGACATGTGAAATAAAATTGCGAGGAGACTCACTCGAATGAGTTAAGCGCGAATGTGAGATGAAAACGCCCGGTAATACGCGTCACCAGCTCGATGTCGTTGTGCGGATCGAGCAAGAATAATGGATACTTACCCGAATTGCAGGCCACCGAACGTTGAAATCCCGTCAGCTCCTGCATTTCGCGGCTTCTCGCGTTCGTATGACCTATCGCACGACAGCACTTACAGATTACTAATTGAAAGTAAACTCGAAACCTGAAACAGTTTAATGCGTTCGTATGTGACTGTAACGCCAACGCACGTTGGTGGTGCGTTGAAACGCGGCGAACAATAGCTTTGTTTACGCAGCTCAAGTCCGTTTCGCGCTCGCTTGAAGTCCCGAGTACGTATTTCCGGATGTGGATGATATTTGGAGCGATCTTTGAGCGAGAAAAAAATTTTTTAATTTAAAATTAAAAAAAATTTTTTCAAGTTTAACCTCGATAAACAAAAGATACGCAGAAAGCAATAAAATGGTGCAAAATATGTTAATATTAACATAAATAAACAAGAAAAATGAAAATTATTATTACTTGATGGTTGCATATATTTCATTTTAATCTTTCTTCTTTGATATTTTATACTAAAATAACATGTCGATATTTGAGAATTCTGACCGTGATTTCTTAAAGTGGAGCAGCGAAGTGCTAATCAATTGGACGAAGATTTATCACGGGCCGGAAGTTAAAATTTCCAAAGCTCTTTTCAAGATAAGCTTCGAGACGACGGCTTCTCTTTTCCTCTTTCCTCTTTCGAGCGTGTTGAAATAATCAAAGAAAGTTGGTTTCTTTTTTTTTTCTTTAACTTAAGTTATCAATGTGGTATGGTGGCACGTAGAATTGATTGAATTTCATGGGCACAATCCGGGCAAACGATCTTCTTTCTTACTTGACTTGAGTGCTGAGTTTTGACGGCTCGTTTATAACACTCTCCAGGGAGATGAAGAGAAGCCCCACTTTCCTATAGTGGAATTGTTGATCTTTGGAATATTTAGTATTTAAAGCTTTAATGCCGTCAACACGAATTTCGTTCGAAATTAATTGGGAAAGAAACTTTATTCGTATACACTTATACAGAAAAAAATGGTTTTAAATCAGTGATAGATATTCTCATATATAAGCAAAAATATGATAATATTCTTAGATTTTTAGTTTTGAATTGAATGTAAGTAATATTTGCACTAATACAAATTTGATCAAATCATGGTTGAAAATCTTACATTTTATATCTTATATAAATCTATATGAGAATAACTATAATTGATTTAAGATTAATTTTTTTTGTGCATCATTATAAATATCTTCCTACATCTCCGGAATTGATTTGATTTATTAATCGCTACTCAGATCTATCAATATTATGCGCAAATGTTACATTTTTGCTGAGCAACATTATTAACGAGTGACAATACCACTTGAAAAGATTGTTGACTAAATTTTTAACGAGACCATTAAAAGGATCTATATCAGTCACTTTCAATAGTCGAGCGTCGATAGTCTTTTAATTTAATTGATATCACGAAGACAATACACAGAAAATATACCAATTTCAGATAACGCGGTAGTTATTGAGAGAAAAATGTATTTAGAGAGAAAAATTCTCTATTTGTATACTATATTCTTTTTGTGTACAACTTTTTTTCTCTCTTCTCTTTCTCTTCTGAATCCATTATATGTCCCAATCGTTTGATAGCGAGTAATCCTCTTTGAGAAATAGTCCCGATGTAACGGGGTTTATTAAATTGTTACAAAAGTTCTGTCAGTTTTTTAATCAGGAATTTGAGACCAAAGACCACCAAAGACTAATAGAAAATCAACTGCAAAGAAATACATACAAGAAACTGACAAAACTTTTGTAACAACCTAATACAAATGTGCAAATACTTGATTGATATAGCAAACGGACCGAGTGTATACACGAAGGACCATAACCTCTCTGTAACTATTAAATCCATCGATTATTTGGCCGTCTCAGTTTTCAATGAAAGAATGAAAGGATACAGTGACATCGTCTTCGTGTCAGCTCGACAAATATCGCGCCAAACGATACATTTAACAATAGCGCGTTTTTATATCTCGAAAATCCGCATCTCTGCACCCCTTTTTTTGGTGACACGACCTGCAAATTCGATATCGAAAGCAAAAAATGGAACTCGCGCTTGCTTGTTACGCGGATTCATGCTGGCGGCGAATGAAACCGGATCAAAGCGGTAAACATTAATAAAAACCGACGCGCGGGCTCACGTAAAATGTGCGGTTAATGAGTTACTCATCGTATATAACGGCCATTTTACTGCCAATGTCAATGATATCCACTGGTCAATGTTGTACATATCATTTTAGTGGAATGATAATTGGGTTTCATGTGTTGTTCTATTGTATATCGCCCAGTGGAATTGTGTACAGTGGTCGTTGAATATACAACGGCGGAGAATGCAAATAGTACGCCCGATATTATTGCACTTCCACTGTAGAAGGTATCGCACTTCGAGTTTAACCAATTGACTGTCCCGGAGCAAAGTGCCAAGTAACACTTAGCGATGCTCCGAGCAGTTTACCGAAGTACGTTTCCCCGTTGTTGAAATATAGGTTCAGGGAGAAAACAAATTTTCTTAGAACAACGATTTGTTAACATAATGACGGCAGAAAAATTTGTTTGAACCACAAAAAATTTAAGAGTATTAAAAATTTAAGGGTAAATATCTTATATATTCTCTCTCTTCTTTCTCTATATTCTTTCTTTCCTACATCTTCTTGCGAATTTTTCCATGAGATAATATCGTTTTCTCGCGATTTGTATAGAATCTAAGAACATGAGATAAATGCGAAGAAATATTCCCGCGTGATTTGACTTGAATGCGAAATAGTCACGAGATCATTTTTGTGTGCTCTCTGATTATAAGAAATAACAAATTTAACGATTAAATTTCCGCTCGAAATGTTTCGAAAGCATCCCTTTCTAAAGGATATTCGAACTGTTTCGCCATTGTTTCTTAACTGCCGCATGCGATTGCGTGGGAATGTCTCTGTCTTATATTTTTCTCCGAAAGAGGAGAGAGATTGAGAGTGGATTACAAAAAATTAAATCTTTTTCACTTATTCCCCTTGGTCGTTTACGATTATCTCGTATTAGAAATGACGCACATAAAGTCAACGTCGACACAGGGAATCGAATGTCTCTCCGGTACTAATAAGGTCGTCTAAAGGTATAAACGATAACAAGGTCTCTTCTGGGTACAATGAAAGAGAAGTACGAGTCTGATGTCCCGTTCATATCGTGCGTGTTCAACGATCGTATTCGGCTTTCGGAGTGTAAAGGCTAGCCGGATCGAAATACTTAGACTGTCGTCAACCGGCATGCAAACGTATAAATGCGTAATTCGATCGCAAACCGAAACTCTCCGCGGTTAACCGATGGATCGATGCCGACCCTCTCGTTATTGATTAAGAAGTGGAGACGCGGAACCACCGGATGACTTTGTATTATTCAGATTCAGCATGTAATCGTAATGCTTTGAGAGGACGATTTTGTAATTTATGATCACTTTTATGTATTGTTTTATTAATTAGACCGGCGCGACGCGACCGCATTATTTCACTGGAAAGTTCGCGGGAAGAAATTTCGGGATAAGAAATTATATTTTCGACAACATTAATCCTCCTCGAACTCAACTCCGCCCCCTCGCCCTTTGAAACTGTCGGAGAATATTTCGCGTAATCCCGAGAGTTGTTTAGTTTTTCGAGGCATTACGTTCGATTGGATATTACAAGGACTTACGTAATTCTCATCTAATATATGAAGTCCGGATTCAATCAGTTTAATGCCGGCGCGAGGAGAGAAAGCTCTCGTCGCGTATGTGTTTTCGTTTCACTCCGTCGTGATATTGATCCCGTCGCGGACGTGCCAACCTATCGGTATTTTACCCGGGAACGAAATTAACCTCGAACTCTGCTCCGACATTTAATTTATCGATTTCGAGGTATAACAAATTAATTTTGTTTAATTTCACTTTTCGGCAAATTATCTGGTTTCAAAGTATGAGCGAAATATTTCAAGGAGAGAATATTACGAATGTGAAATTATATATTTCTAGAAATAATATATTTCTAGAATATGAAATTAGATATTTCTAGAAAAAGCAGCGGCTGCGGTTAAGGAAAAGTTTTAAAACATTATCTATGTTAGACAAGAATGAATGCCATACCTGTTATTCATCCAGTAATATATGATCGGGTTGACCATAGAGTTGGACATGGCGAGCCAATAAAAGCTTAAGTATATGTGTTGAACGTAACTACTCTCCGCGATGTGACGATAATGGTACACGAAAATGAAGAATCCCTGATATGGCAACCAGCACACTGCAAATATTGTCACCACTATGCTGAACATTTTCACGACCTGTAGAGAATGAAAAAAATATTGTAGAAAATCTGGTACAAAGTGTGTGTTTTGTTAAAGACTTGCAAAAATTCGTCAGGTCGCAAGTAGGTTCATCGGCTAAAAAAATTTTACAAACGCTTAATCAGATGTTTTTTTAATTTGCAGAAGATTTTATGTGCACTTTCTCGAAATTGCGTTTACGCTCGGACTGCAGTTGAATCGGAGATAACAACTGCTGAGCGAATCTCGCTGAGTGAAATTTAACGCGTTCACTTTGCCTTCGTCGTTACACAATAACAATGTTTGCGAGAACCGCTTATTGTTGCAATTATTCGCACCTAATCTCGAAACTTATATGCAACTTTACGCATTGTAATGTGCACAGTAGTGTTAAGTAAAGGTATTAAAGAGGACTTAATAGGGAATATTGTTCTGAACTTTTCGCTTATAGGCGCGTTTCCTCGGCATACGAGGGCGGTCCGATAAGTACTTAGCCTACAAAAGGAAAACGAAAATTTTGGAAAAGTGTGGAATCATGTACTCTGATTTACATAATTAAAAATGCATTCTTATACCCGTTCTTCTTTCGTTTCTTTTTCATTTTAAAATAGTCAATCGCAGAAACTTTCGATTAGAGTGCGGATGAATTCCAGGCGAATCCGCAAACCGATTTACAAGTTGCAATGGTCTAGTTTGCTGGAGCTTTGGTATGTTCTGAAATCCTCAAATAATTGAATTTTGCGGATCTTCTACTTATACATTTTTTACGCGTTACAGTTTATTTTTCCAAATTTCGTCAGGTTTTTCCCAAGTCGAAATTTTAATGTTACTTTGATTAAGGATGTTTTTAAGGATTATTCGCACCTAATTAGACGGCTCACAGACTAATAAAAACTTGCTTTGATAATATTGATAACATTTGACAACATTTTCTAATTTTTATTCCGAACCTTTAATTCTACAAATTGAATTTTAATACTACCTTTAATAATCCATTTTTACGCTAAAACGGCGAAAACGGAAATTTAAGACATCATCGCAGTCAAAGTAGGAGTATAATTATATTATTAGAATTGAAATTGAATCTATTTTGCTATCTAAACTCCTAACTGTATTACAGAATCAAAGGTTTAACATAGGGCCAAAATTTCAATTCGGATTGTCTTTCTGCAAGATTGTTCAGAATTGATACGATAAAACGAGAGAATCGGTGACGACGTTTTAAAATATTTACTCGCACCTTACCCTCGTTTACAACACGCTTTCTTTCAGTCGCTTGCGCGGACGCAATACACATAGCGAGGCCTTGTTTAAACGACCACAACGTGACAGAGATTAACGTCATACCTTGCGTTTCGATTTCATCGATTCCCTCTGGTTATGAGTGACTTCGCCGATAGATCTAGAGCCGCATAACTCCCGACCCATCAACGCGTAACACACACTCATCACTGTCATAGGAATCAGATACGTTACAGCCAGGAATAGGAGATTGTAGCTGTAGAATAAACGATTTATGTGAAACGCCAGTAAAGACGCTATTATTACAGGGAGTTTTATTAAAGTCGTAACTTGTCTCATAAGATGCACCTGCGTTCACGACGAAGACGATCACTCAAGAAAGAGGAGGAGGAATCTAGTTGTGCTAACTGAGGCTATCTGCGCTCGACAGGCGGTGCAGCAATATAACGGCCATACGACAAATTGATAATCTTTCATCCCTAATAAAGTTACGCGTTCAGATATACGATATACGAAAGACGGAAACTCACGCAATAAAAACTTTATCGTTTCCTCGCCTAATCGCTCGCATTAAAAAAGCTTTTTTCTCGGGGTGGAAAATTCAACTTTTAATCGCGCGGCCACTCAGCCCGATGATAGTTAAAAATTCGACGATCAATTAGTAGTTAATTAAAACAGTTCTGTCTCTTTTTCACGCATGTTTCACATGTAGAATAGACCGGGGCAGGTTTAGTAACTTCAGAATTTTGATTAAAACTGTTAAAACTTTTCAGAAAAGGACTAATTGTTGTGGTTGAATAAACAACGATAATAGCGACAACCTTCCTCTGTATTTTTATGCAACCAGAAATTTTATATATTCTGTATAGTTTTGTCTGTATAGTTTCGTAATAACTAAAATGCCAACATGGAACATCTGTGCGAAACTGTTCCGATACTGGGGTAAGTTTGAAAGTAGCCCGGGGCAGGTTAACATTATATATAATAAATATAATTATGTACTTTGAGAAAAATGTATATACGTTTAAAGCAATTTGTTTGATGTAAACAATCTCAGCCATGCAGTCTTCAACAAGACTGACAGCAATTCTACTATTCATAATGTTAATTAATCGATGTGCGTTTGTAGTTTAAAACAATACAAATAACTGTGAAGATACTTGCTGATTTTAATTTCTCTGTCGATAATTGTATAATAGACAATATGTTATAAAGCACATTTCGATTGCCGGTTGACGTGCGCGAAAATCAGCTGTACTTGTGCATTACATTGAATTAATTTCATTAATTAATTAATTTCCCAACCTGCTCCATTCACTCATTTCTTTGATTTTAATAATTTCATCAATGAACATTACTTTTATTACACAAAATATATCATACAATTGTAGAACTTCATTCTAACTAATTACATTATTTAGATTTATCCAGTCACGATAGAGAATGTTAAGATAAAATTTCGAGACGTTCGAAAATTTACTCGGCTGGTTTCAAAACAGATTTTTCTTTTTGTTAACCGTAATATTTTTCCGATTTTAATGAAAATTAGAGACTAGTACTTATATTCTGAAAGGAACATCTTGCAGCTCCTTTCGCATTTTGTTATACACTTTGTTTTTTTCACAATAAGTATAAAAATGAAACGTTTTACCAACTAACCTTCTTATTTCAACCTGTCCCAGTCTTCCCTGTCAATTAGCGTTTGGTATAACAAGCTCGAGACCACTTTAAATATCCTGTTGCTTTACTTTTTTGCGTCTCACCGAAATATTCCGTCGCTTCGTGTTCCGACAAAGGAGGCAACGCGCGAATTCGACCATACTCTTGCAAACAGAATCTGGAGTCTCAGTTCTCGAGTACGCACGAAAGCCATGATTGCCAGATAAGTTAAATTGCATGCGGAACTTGGACTACTATTTTGGCATTGTGTGGCTGCACTGCACGTCGCTACCTACTGAGTTATTTTAAATTATGCAATTGCACGTTACGTGTATCCAAACTACTACATCCGTTGTTAAACCCAACTTAGAGACGTTTCGTAGGTAAATATAGAAACAGTGCTATCTGCCGTATAAACTCCGGCGTCATACGATGTTCTTCGTAAAAAGTGGATGCATCGTACTAACGACTTCAAGTTTTCGGATTATTCGATAAACGAAAGTTTCGATGTGTTTTGATATGTTCAATGTTCCATTTATAAAAAAGAATATATACATATCATAAAAAATATATCATATTATAATAAAAAAAATTAAAACTTTATAATCACACGGTTTTCGAGAAATACCGTGACCGTGATATTTTCGTACTTAAGATTATCGATCCTGATAAAAAATCTCAGAACACGTTATCGAGATGGAAAATTCAAGGACACCTCATTCATAGTCAACGAATACAAAACAAACCTACAGGTATCGTTACGCCGAAGGCCGCGCGACTTTCGAAACAATAACATAGCAAGATTTTCGATTTAAAACTGCCATAAAAGTCTGACGCGCCGTAATGAATACACCGGACTGCTTTGCGCATTTTTTTTTAAATCGACCGGAACATCGGTGAGATCAATTATGTTACTTTATGCGTGTAATTGTCGTGCTGGGACAATCATGAGCAGCGGTGACCCTGAGGAATTTAATAGGCGATCACTATGTTACATTTTAATCGGATTTAAAGAAAATCAGTTGAACTTCGTGTTTTTTCGATATCGCACATGTCTTCCGTTTCGTCAAGTCGGATAATCTCTTTATATCTTCTAATAGAGAAATTATCTTTTTGTTTCAGATCCGACGGATTTAGGAAAGCTTGCGACCAAACCGCGACAGCAATTACAATTCCGATGGATGCTGATGCAGCACCGAAGGTCTGGTTCGGGCTGAGCAGGGTCAGCTCGACGGTAGGTTCGCAAATCTCCTGTGTATATTTATAGCCCTTTATGATCGAGAGAATATAGTTTTCCGAATGATTTGCATTATGGGCACAAAGGGTTAATCGACTCACTTGCCCACTTGTTTGTTAAGTCAAATGTCTGAATCTAACTAACCAAGTTGTTTCTGTTTTTATTTCAAATTTTCTGCGACAGAGCATGGCTGATCCTGACCTCGAAGTGGTTCGGTGAGTCACAAGAAAAACAATGAGCACGAGAATTTAAAGTGGTGAGCTTTACAAAATTTCGTCGAAATCAATACGATTTAACTCGCTCGTTGCATGCGAATTTTTACATATATGCCCCGTTGGACGATATGTACAACTTGAAACAATCGCAGGATCACTTTTTGGAATGCGTGTATCAGATATTTATGGAGAAGAAAAGTATATTATCGTATATGCTGTCCTTTTTGACAATTGAATTGATGTACAAAAAACCATATCTAACTGGTTATAGTTTTTTTTTGTTTTCCAATACATTGGATACTCCATTTTTAACAGCTGTTCTTAATCTTTCGGTGAACATGATTACGCGATATTTCACTTGTTCACTCTTACATTTAATTCAAGTTCTGAATTATTATAGAGCTGTTCATTCAGCGCGATTTTGTATTACCATTTAAAGCTGTGCATAACACGCTTCAGAATTGCGCCACCGTGAGTGGAAATCAACAGTTGTTTCGCATTCGTTGATTAATTTTGCCGTTGTCGCCGTCATTAACGTATCAAATGTTCCGCGCTTGTATGCATTTATTACTAATTACGATTATATCCCGGAAGCGGATGTGAATCTCGTAAGATTGAATTCAATGTCGCGATGGAGCGTTGCAGCCCAACGTAATTTCGCGCGGCAAGCTCAACGTAAAATCGAAATTTCGACTCGAGCGTCATCGATAAAACAATTTATCGCGCCGCGAGGATGTTTTCGAAGCACAGGGATGCGTGACGATGCTACGGTAGATATTCAACGATAGATATTCAACGAGCGAATTTGCAAGTTCCGATTTTGTCTTCCATGAATTCATGGTTTTCGTATCGCGGCAAGTAAAAACTTCGCGCTAAAATAGTGGCGTGATATATTTGTCGGATGCCGTTAAAATATAAATATTAATCGCGTCGCGAATGCAATGAAATGAAGTGCACACGAGCGATGCAGTAGGTGAACATCACAGACTTCCTGAAGCGAAGCAACGTAGCCCAGAGTGCCCTCGTCGTGTACCTTGCTAGACGTGGGTGGATCGGACTTGGACGTCGGTGAATTTCAATGAGATATGGCGAGTGTTGAATTTCAACACTCAGAGTGTTGAAACGTGTAATGCAGTGTATGCTTAACCGTAAATCGTATTAATTTTCGACGAAAGAACTTGAAAAACTGAGCGTAAACCGTAAGGACGGTTAACGTCCGTGTTATATTAAGAATACAACTTCTCGATTGAGATCAAAGATCGTTAAAATAAGGAGGTCACAGTTTTACAACAAAAAACGATTCGAGAACTTTTATATTTTTTATATTGTTTCTATCTATTTTTTTCTACATATATGTTGTTATCGCCACTATGCCATCGCACACACACGAATGCGCCAGTCCAATATTTGAGTAAAGAGAAAAGCCTCGAATTTAGTCCTGTCATTTAAGTAAGATTTCACCTTGTTCACTGTCCGCGCGGAGTAGAAAAGCCTTATACGTATTTAATATTGCCTTTCTGCGTATTACATCTGTTCTTCCTTTCCGACCTTTTTCTCTTCCCGCCGGGCGATATAACACGCGCTTTAAATCGATTTTGCTTCTGGAACAATACGAAACAATGGATGAATAGCATTTAGCTTTAGAAGCGGCTTAACTCTTCCCAATCTTGAAACGCTATTCATTCGGTGGAAGATTCGAATCATCGAATTATGCTTTGTCGTCTTGTCCGGATGGAAAATGTAAACGGAAGCGGAAAATCGAACGGAGGTTTTAGATGCAATACGTTTTGTTCTGAGCATTAGGAATTTAATGCAGTATCCGTGTGGGATATCGTTTCTTCGTCTAATGAAATTTGAACAAAATTCCTCGATCTTCGGCATCAAAGAACTCGAAAATCCTAAAAGCCGCCCGCTTAGCTCCACGAGCGTTGTTTGCAGCCGCACGTTAATTCATTCGCACCGTCGTTGATGCTTCTTCGTGATTTCGACATCTTGTCTCAAACGTAAATGACTTATGTGCGGCAGGGGCTGCGATTAGACTCTTAATTGCTAACGACTCCCACTTGACGTAAACAACTCAGCGTCCGCACAGGATCAGACGCGACCGCTCTAATTAAGTCGAACTCTTATCATTCCCTGGTGATATGCTGATGGCAGATGACCTGGCAACTTCCTGTTCCTACCTTCTTAGGGCAATCGTCGATTCGATCGCTTTCGCATTTGTAATGGCGAATCGCGGCCGGAATGCACAGTTCGCTTTGGGACTTCTTTCCGCACGCGATTTCACATGCCGCGCTCTTTTCCGTTAAGCCTCTCCGCTTCAGATTGTAATTCGCGACGGAGTTCCGTTTCTATCGGAGACTTGAGAAGAATCGATATTACACTCGCGGACGTATGCGTCTCCCGCACAGTTTAAGCTTACGGCACACCCGTGAATTTCTAAGCGTATTACTCTTTATTTTGCAGCGTGTAAAATTACGGAAAAATACACTGCCTTGCAAATTACGTTCGCGAATTAGAAATCGTTCAGAGCGATCTTTAAAAAGCGTCCGACGCAAATTCTGAGTTCTGAGTTTCCGTAGACTCACATATTTCCGCAACCGTTTCTACAACTGCGAATTCCGGCCGCTTGGAAGAATGGTTTTCGGTAGGATGTAGCTTGCTACTTACGTATATTCCGTTTTACTATGCAGATACCCGCCGTCGGGCCACAACAAGTAACAGGAGACTCTGCTTGTACCGTTCGAATATCTGCAATTGACTGTGTATTAGTTCCTTCCCCTTTTTTCCCTCCTTTTTCCTCCGTTTATCGACTTGCATGACTCAAGTTGAATAAGACCGCAGATGGGTACAATGAATATTATTCGTCGGCGGAAAGAATCTGCTAAGCTTATCGAAACCATTATCAAAATATGCTCCTCGCATCTTCAAATATCAATCAATAAGGGTTTCTTGGAAGTTTCTCGGGTCTGTTGTTGAGTGCTTTCAAAATCGAGAGGGGCGGGGGAGGGGGAGAGGCATTCAGCGATCGTATCCGGAGGGTAAGAAGAAAAGCAATCTGAGGGTGGAAACTACCCATACGGAACATTGACTGCGCGAGCAACATACGAAACGGATTTCGGGCTCGCCATGAGATACAAGCAAGGTAGCAAGTATGAATCTTACTTTCCATGGAAACCTAACAAGAAGGAAATGCGATAATAATATAAAGAAGGAAGAAAACGTCGGTTTTGTGCTCGTATCATTTCCATTTTAAATTTCCATTTGAAATGCGACTCCGGCGAATCGATGTGCTTGTTTTGAATTAGGCGCGCTTAAATTTATATTCGTGCGTACACACACATGAAGTGAAATTGCGAGTGCCGATTGACGTTTTTCGCGGTGCGAAATTTACTGCGCAATATAATGCGTTATTCATCGCATACCAAAGCGCGGTTTTCCTCTTATTAAACTCGATCAAAAATTATTCATGAAAATATAGAGTCGATTTTTTCTCTCTTTTTTTCTTTTTTAAGCGTACACAGACGCACCATTGGAGAAGCGTAGATCGGCTTTAAAGGATAGAAATATCTTTGGAGAGACAGGCTAAGCGAGGTAGTAGCGGTAGAGTGTAGGATAAACAGAAAGATCTTCAGGACTGAGATATTTTTTGAGAAAATTCTTCTCAACGAAAATTACGTTTTTACCCCGAGAAATAAAACGAACACGTCGCCTAGGACTTTTTTTGCTTTATGAACTTTTCTTTTCTTTTACTTTTTCTTTGAAGAAGTATAAGTTTTAAAGATAGATAAATGCAGTAAAGTAAAAGAGATGAACGCAGGAAAAAAATTGACAGGGAAGGAAAAGTTCACCGGTGTTGATAAGAAGCTACGAGGTAGCATCGTCTGACCGCAAAGCGAATCAGCGGACGTATATTGAGATAGATATTCCACATGAACAATTTCGCAATGTTCCGTATCAAAATAAGAGAAAATTACTCATTTATCTTAATCAAGTACAAACAGGCAAATAAAATGATCAGTAGTCTCTTGTTAATACACATCACTAAATAGAGCGTTTGTTATTTTTATTTTAGTTTTAAACCGGTTAATTTTGCAACTAGCATTATACCAATTTGATTAACTCTTACTTTATCGATCCGGCTTATCCAAATAGCGTGGCGAATTATAAAGCGAGAATGTGCTTGACTCACATCTCGTCTCTGTGTACTAATAGTTTACATATCGATGTATTGATGTGTACGTTAAATATTCAATAATGGAGCGCATGTAATCACATGGTAGGCAAATAATCCTCTATGAAATGACGCGTGAAGATAAAACCCTTGCACGCCTACAGACATTTTATGAATATTGATGGAGATGACATTGCATGCGGGCAAATATATATAAATCACGGACTAAGCCTCTGTAATTGAGCCCGTGAATCGGGGGGGGGGGGGGGGAAAGGGGGTNCTACGTTTCAACGAATAACATGTTTTGAGCTTTGATCTTACGCGTGTTATGAGAAATAAAGCTTGCTCTCTGATAAAACGTAAGCCTCCTCGCGAGCGTCTGTTTACTGATCGTCGACGAAGAACGTACTGTACTTTGCACGTTGTACGTAATCAAATTGAAAAGATCAAGCTGAAATCCGGTTACAGATTTCCTGTCGTTTCTTCATGAAGTGAATTTGTCGAACGGGCGCGCATGTCTCATAGGAACGAGACTCTATAGTATTCGGAACGACACACTTTCGCGCGAAAAAGAAAATTTCTCGAAAAGTTAGACACCGGTAATATTACCATAATTTTTTGCTTCTTTGTTCCTTTGTTCTCGCGAATGACGGTTTTTTTTTCAACAGGCTACGCCAACTCGCAAATGCAGCGTCCTTCCTTTTTTCTCTCGGAAATTACGCGGTGTAAGTGATTTGGCATGTTCTATGGCATGCGATGCGTTCCCGTAGACGTGACCGGAATTTCCGTACTTGCGCAAGACGATATATCTACTATCTCTAGACGTACTTCAAACAAAAATTCGTTTTTCAAGCGATTCTCTCTGGCGGTCTGTTATGTTACAAGAAATGACGTGGGGATGTGAAACGTACGAAAGGGCTCGATATTATTATTGGAACATATCGGTTACCGTTTAGACAGATGGGGAAATTACGTTCTGCTACCCTCCGTTCTATTTATACTTCTCTCTCTCTTTCTCTCTCTCGACTTGAAAGATAATATGAATTTAAAAAATTACAAAATAGTGTTGAAAAATAGTTGTGAAATAATATAGGGGAGAGACAACGTTCACGCATAAACACACCGGAGCCGACTCGCCGCGACTTTCAGGATTATCAAAATTCACTTTTTAATGCCGTTTATACTTACCTGCGTGATGTCGTTGTGGAATATAAAAGGCACGGGGTCGCCAGTGCGGACGAGATGCTCCAAATTAAAATTAGACTAATTACCGTCCGCTTGCGGGACATACGGTGCTTGAGGGGATGCATAATGGCCATGTATCTGCAACAGACGGAATAACAATCGACAGTTACTCGATATTCGCGTCGGAACCGGAATCGAGCGGAATCGGACTGAACTTTACGACGATCGATCGCTCGTCGTGCTCGACACTTTTCGCTTTCACAGTTTACATTCGAATTTTCGGATGCTACCATTTATCTTTGCCGAACCTTGTTTCGAGGGTGTCGCGGAAAATCTTGCCGTCGAAGAGATTTAAAAATCTGAATGACATTTCTTTATTATTATTTCCCGAAATAATCAGGTTCCTTCGAAGAACGTGAGACGTTACTCTATCTCCTTTCTCGTACCGTCCCTCCTGAATATCCGTTATAAATACGATTTCTATATAATGGCATACAGTTTGCATAATAGCTGTTTCATGTAACGCAATAATCTGGAATGCAATCGTGGGAATCAATTTCGCGCCGGCATAAATCGCAACTGCGTGCGGCGAAAGTGTAAATTGCCTTTGTAAATTACTGCGCTATTTTCGAACGGTGGATCGCCGATGTATTAAACGCAACATATTGTGTATCATAAATCGTGATTATTAATAATTCAACAACAGCGCGTCACGTGCGATATACGAGGTGTGTTCATAAAATAATGGGAATTTTTAAATTTCGCGGGTTTGGAGAGTCCGATCGTCAACATTTTTTTTTTATTATGTTGGTATACATGCCCCAAACGTATGATAAAATTTTCAGCTGTATTCATTGTTTACTTTGTCTGTGGCAGCCGCTAAGGTTAGACGTGTTTTTATGAGCTCGGCGATTTTCGTTTGTTAAAAGAAATGGATCAAAGAATTTGTATCAAATTTTGCGTAAAAAATGAAATAAAGTGTAACAAAGTGTGTGAAATGTTAACAAAGGCCTATGATGAGTCTGCTATGAGTAAACAAGGGGTTTACGAATGGTATAAGCGTTTCCAAGATGGCCGTGAAGACGTTGAAGATGACGAACGCCCCGGACGCCCCAGCACATCAACAACCGATGAAAACGTGGAAAAAGTGAAAGAAATGGTTATGAACGATCGCCGAATCACAATCAGAGAAGTCGCTGATGATGTTGGCATATCGATTGGCTCATGCCATGAAATTTTTTCGAATGTTTTGGGTATGAAACGCGTGGCAGCGTAATGCACCTGCTCACACTTCA